AATGCAAGCTTCTATATCTTTTTTAATAAAAACTCTATTAGACCTGTCATCAAAATCCACATTTATTTATCTAATACTAAGCTATCCTGTCTTGAAAAAACATCCACACTTCTACGAAAAAATCCATAATACTAGATCTACATACGTTTATATTTGATCTTCTAATAAACTACAAATTTATGGAGAACAATATTCTCCTCTTAGAGATCAAACAGTTCCCCCATTGAAAACCCATAACAACCGCCTATCCCAAAATGCAATGACGCAGATAAACTAATTGCTGGACTAAGTCGGTTCTGTACTACTGAATGACAACAATTTAATGCACAAGTAGGTGTTCATGCCAAGAAAGTGTGTGGACAGATACAAATATAAGACACCTCATTACATACCTTGTCTTTTGCGAAATGAAAGAAATCACCCATTTTGGTAATGCCCAGTATTTTTATTTTTTTTTTTTTAATTTGTGCAATACTTTGGTGACTGCCAAACAGAACTTCATTAAACAAATTAACAATTTCGAGAGTAGTGACAACAGACAACTTGTCAATGCGTGCGTTTTGTTTTTTCTCTCTCTCCTATATTCACATAAAAATAGATCATTGGGATCCATGTCTGAATGGGGAATGGGAAACAGATGGATGACTCATACAAACACAAAGTGTCTTGTTCTTTACGCACAAATGGAGTATTTTTTTGTCTAATGCATTTTTAACGCATAATATTAGATCAAAGTTGGAAATGATGCATCATGTGACTCAGAACGATGCTGAAGAAATGAATATGTAAGGTATTGTTCGGTAATTAATCATGGCCTAACATTGTGGTGATAAAATGACTTAATTTTCGAGGAGATCTGATTTATGGTACAATTTCAATACAAAGACAAGTATGCTATGAGGAAAAGCATTGTAGGTTGTATGTGTGGGGTATTTTACATTATTGTCTGTTATAATTAATGAATACCCCAACATTTTCCTTCACTTCTTTAATCGATTTTATTTTCTTTTTCAGACACTACTTTTTTCCATTGCATTATGATTACCAAAACACCCGATTATATGATATCCGAATGTGGTTATCCCGAATTATGGTCGTCAGATTCCAAACATATGCCACTAACCAAAGTCAATAGTACATTTTGGAACTCCTATACATCATGGTGCAATAATAAATCTACAAAATTTAGTAAACTATTACCACTACGCGAGTCATGGACCGATTACTGTACAAAGAATCTCATAAAACAAAATGAAGAATCTAATAGAAACAACTACAATCGACTTGCCACAGTACAAAAACAACAAAAGAATCATTATAACGAAGTGCTGGTATCCACACGAAATACCAACAAAAGCTTTCATTGTAAAAGGTAAGAAGATTAAAATCCAGAACAACAAAGACTCATATTTTCCCAAAAAAGCAACTCCATCATTGTGAACAATCATGATTTTTTTGCTTCTTTCTATTTTCTTTTCAAATTTACACCTTCTAACTATTCAATACGTCAATCATTACTTTTTTCAGCCTTAGACACAAGATGTTGGATGCTGAGAATACCGTTGCCGCCACAATGGAATCGCAGCAGAGATCTCGAACTAAAATTGTAGATAATGATGTAGATCAATTTTGAGTGTTAATAAGTGTTAAAATACGCATTTGTGCAATTATTTATAGAAATGTTAAGCGGCGCGATGTGATGCAGTGGAGATGTTATGTTTTTAATGCTAATTTAAATAAACTAATATTTAATTTAAAAAATAATAAAAAAAAATGGGTTTTATTTATTTTATGAAGTAAAAACCTAAAAAAACTATGGGAATATCAGTCGGCTTTCTATGTAAAGATAAGACGACGATCTACTAGAGGAAGATCGGTCGACTTTTTAACGGAAGATCTCAAATTTTCATTTCCAGGGGGATTTACACAGAAAAAGACAGGTCTTCCAATAGAAGCCTTAATGCCTCCTCTAACGAAAATTTAAAAGTCTTTCAACAAAATTCGAAGGGTTTCCACTAGAAGACTAGAGGAAGATCAGTCATGTTCTAAAGGGAAAACCTACAGATCTACATGGAAGGACAGATCTTCCAAGAGAAACATTTTCGTGTCTCATCTTCAAATTGAAGATTTCAATTAGAAGAAAAGAAGGTGTTCATATAGAAAACTATAGGGCCTTTCTTTACAGAAATGTTTCTCTGGAACCAGTTTCTCTGAAAGAAAAATCAGTTTTCTTATAGAATGGGAGGAGCATCTTATAGAAGATGCAATGGTCTTCTTATAGAAAAATCAAGGGTCTTCATATAGATGACCCTAAGGTCTGTTTATGGAAGTCCCAACGCATTTAAAAAAAGACTCTATGGTCTGCCATCTGGTATTTAACAAGAAGTCTTTTAGAATACACAAATATGGTCTTCTTTTCATAGTAGCTAGAGGAACTTCTCATATAGATTTAGGAGATATTCGTATAAAAGACCGATCGCCTTTCTTATAGAAAACTCTAGGTCCTCTTATAGATCTTGAGTTAGATTATTTAAGACTCGGAGGTCTTCATATACCAAAACTCAGAAGTCTTCTTATATTAGACTCTGTGGACTTCTTGAACGGTTTCCAATATACAACTCGAAGGGTTTCCAATTGAAAATTTAAGTTTTCCTAGAGAACATTCGAAGACTTTTATATAGAAGTTTCTGAGGCCTTAAAAGACCGACCCAATGTCTTTTTGGAAGTCTTCTCAGTGAGGATCAGAGGGACTTCTCACTTCTTTTCAGAACTTCCGAAGTCAGAAGTTTTTAAGTTATTTATATTTTTAAAAAAGCTAGAAGTTCTTCCTAGAGCTAATTGAAGGTTTTATTATACAGGACTCGAATGTCTTTATATAACAGACTCAGACGTCTTCTTATGGAAACCTAGGGGGTATTCCTATGGAAAACTAGGGGCTCTTCTTGTAATAATCTTATTATAGAAGAATCAATGATGACCATACAAATATTGTTATTGTTGCTATGTGCAATCATTAGATCAAATCGGATACTCAATTCGATTGATATTGGATTTACGAACATTCAACATTTTGGGGGAGGTCCCAGCAGAAATAACGCAATGAATCCCGTCTTCGGACTTGATTTATTACAATGTGTAAATTTTCAAAATATCGACACTTTCTTGGGGTGGATCATGGTCTGATCATGTTCTGGAAAAAATATTACGGTATTCAAAGTTAGGATTAAAACCATTTAAAAGCAAATTTTCAAAATTTTTTGGGGATGAAAGTGTAGCACGATTGACCCATTTTCAGGCCTGAAAATCTGTTCTGGTAAATATATTGCGATATACAAATGACACTAAATCCGATTGATATTGGATTTACAAATTTTCAAAATGTTAACAAAATATTTGTGTGTGTGTGGCAACGGAAACAGTGGACCGATGGATAACTTCTTCGGACTTGATTTAGAGTTTGTGAAAATATAAAGCAAAATTTGGACGAAATTCAATATTCTTTTCGCTTCATATGAGATTTACAAGTTATCAAAACATTGACGCTTTGTGGGGAAGATGCTAAAGGTGGTAGACCGATAAGCCTCATCTTCTAACTCAATCTAAGTTTGCCAGAAATATTCCGATGTGCAAAATTTGGACATGAAATCGATTACTCGCTTTTAGAGTTATCGTCTGCTCCAGAGACTCCAAATGGTCTGTAACGGATTTGATTCAATGAAATCTGGGGTATAAAACAGCATTATATACAAATCAAATAAATAAAATTTATAGGTTGAATAACTTAAGTTGGGATATTCCCCTGCCTTACCTCAAATTTAAGGATTTATAGCCATGGTCCAAGCATATCCTTTCTAACCTAACTTTTCTAAATTATTTCTATCTACTGGTAATTTCGAAAGCAGGACAATGTTGTTGTCTCCCCTTAGGTTTTTTATATATTATTTACAATATCATATATTATTTACTGCAATATCACCCCTCCGATAATCCCAAAGCTTATAACAAAAATAAATTTACTTTGACATTAACTCACCACATTTTAAATTTCACTATAATCAGATCATTGAGCCGGTACCCTCACGATTTTAACTCCTTCGTAAACAATCTCCTTAGCGCAGTCTGTAAAAACAAAATACATACATACATTAATTATGGTTAGTTTTCATCATTGATCAAAAAAATGTGCAGACCAATTACATACTCGGAAACTAAAACTTCATCCAATATTAGCTAACCGTAGGATAACGTTTATTTGTATTAGCTCACAGCTATCGTAGAATCACAAAAAGTACAAAAATTCTCAAGTCTTGGAACGATCGGAGCTCCATTGGCCACTTACTGGAATAACGGTCCAATTCTGCAACAGCTCTTATAAGCGATACACAACAACAATTGATTTTCTGTTTTTGCTTTACTTATTTAAAGAAATATCCAATAATAAACTTATCTTGAATTGATTTAAATTAAAATTGAAGACGGAAAGCTTTTTTATTTTCACAATTAAAAATTCTACTGACATTTTACAGTTATTGATGAAATCAAAATTAAACACGTTCCCTTGCATCTACAGGATAAAATCGCTATATTGTTATTACTCACCCTCAATAAATTTCAACTTTTTTCTCTGCAATGCACATTGACAACACTGTTGAGATTTCTGACAATTGACAGATGACGAACGATTAGAAAAATATATTTTGCTGTTGTGGAATTTTACGTGAACAAAATGCAATAAAAAACTAATAAATACGAATAATTAACAAAATTAAAATACCAAACCGTTGACAAAAATCGAATGTTTACAAGATAAGGAAGAGAAAATACCAAAAGAGAACGAGAAAATCACAAGAGAAACCTTGATAAAAATCATAAACAAATATTGACATAAGGAACGAACGTCTGAACCAGATTCAGTTGTGACCTGACCTGCTAGACCAATTAGAAAAAAATCGTCGAAAAGAAAATACAGAATTCCTGCTCCCAGCTTTGAAGAATGTGTTATGGCTACAGTACCAAATATCAATTCACTGTCACGCAAGACATCTAACGTTAGTACCACCAGTGACTTGCAAGAAAATTCCTCCGACCAGACAATACTAAAGAGCGGCAGTGGTAATAATGTTCACACAAAGGTCCTTGAAAGTGGCAAGGCTGGCCTCAGTAGTTGGGAATCGTGTTATTATTGTCCTAGAGAAAATTTCAAAGCTGTGAATGAGTTTGTCAAGTAAGTCCTATGAATATCCACCACCATCTCCTTTTAATTGAAAAATATCTCCTTTACAGACATCTACGTGAACGCCACTGTACCCGTGAGGGTGGCTCCTATGTCTGCCGCTATGGTTTTAACGGAGTTTGCCCCTCCCTACCGCTGGACGGTGTATCGGATCGTGACTATGATGCCCATGTCGCCAAGTATCATGTAAATCAGCAGACACGAGAAATGCCACCTGAATGGTCGGTATTTTCGGCGGCACAAAACCTGCCAGCCGTCCTCAATGACCCCTCACGTGGTAAACAGAGTAATCTGTTTACGAAAAAATGGGGTGTCGATTTTGTTGAACGTAATCATGTGCCTGCTACACCCTATTTGCCCGAAGTATCACACAATGATTTCGAAAAGTATTTGGCCAAAATAGGAAAACGTTACAAACGCCATGAACGTCTGAGCAGCCAGCAAGCAATGGCGTTGGAGGAAAAATCCAACCAAGGTGCGATACCTTCATCTCCCAGTCATGATGTAAATTTGAATTCCGTACCGGATATTTTCCTCAAGGAAACCCTAAATTTACAACATGCTCCCACATTTAGTCAAGTTTTTCCCGACATTTTACAATCACCCAGTGGCGAAGAACGTCGACGCACCGGACGTTTATTGCAGGAACAACTATCACATTATCTGGATATTGTTGAGGTGAAAATTGCCCAACAAGTGTCACAGAAGTCGGCTGCATTTTTCCACGCAATGACATCTCAGGATGCCATTATGTCTGAAATGCAGGAGGCTGCCAAAAAGGTGAAGGCTTTAAGGACATCACTGCGTGCTTTAAATGAAACTGTGGTCGTCGATACATTCCGTGTACTGCGCTATGCCCAACGAAGGCAGAACTACGAAGAAGTTTTGGACAAGTTGCGTCTCATGGCCACAGTGCACAAAACCCAGCCCATGCTACAACTACTCTTGGGCACACAAGATTATGTAGCAGCCTTAGACTTGATTGGCACCACTCAAGAGATATTGACCCAGGAGCTAATCGGGGTCCACTGCTTTAAACACTTGCCCATGCAGCTAAACGAAATGGAAAAGCTAATCGATAAAATGTTAACTACGGAATTTGAACGTTATGCCACCACAGATTTAAATCGCCCCCTCAGCGATGTGCTCAAAGAAACCGATAGTGTCTGTGCCGAGGAAGACAAGTTGGTGTGTATTGTCATGGGTCTGCTGCGTATGAAAAACTTTAGCTTTGTCGATGCCTACAAGGACGAGGCCATTGTCACGATAAAGGCCATCATTAAGCAATTGGTTATTGAATTCATTGCCTCCAGTGATGCTGAGCTGTGTCTGACTGGAGCGGGAGAGGAAGCACAGAGTCTGACAATTGGTGAATGGATTGCATTACTGGCCAAGGTAAAGGTGGCTCTGTTGACAGTATTGCAACGTATTCATGCGGTGACGCATATTATGCGTCAGACCATAGATGCGGCTGCGGGTGGTTCCTGTGCGGCACGCAATGACCAACAACAACAGGGTGTTAAATCGGCACAGGAAGCTGCAGTGAATCTAATAGACTCGGAAGCATTCCTTACCGCCTCCGATCAGTCACAGGTCCATGAGAAGCTGGACGAATTGCTGACAGCCGTTTGTCACTATTGCCACGAACGGTGTGCCAATTTAGTGTCACAACAAAGCCTTGAGAAATCGGTGGCAACGGCAGAGGAGATTTCCCATTTGTCAAGTTTGGTAGATGATTTCGCCCAGGGTTGTGAGTCGATTTGTGGAGTGGCAAGTGTACCTCTAAAGGTGGCTGTAAAGGTACAGGCCAGCCGTTTTGCAAATCGTTTCCACGCTGAGCGTAAACAAAAACTAGCTTTACTTTTGGACACAGAACGTTGGCGTCAGGTTGACATTCCAAATGAATTCCAGAAAATTATTGATCGCATTTGTGAGAACAAAGAGTTCTGTGGCGGGGCCAGTAATGCGAGTGTTGGTGCGGCCTTAACAAATGGTCATGTCCAGGCGAATCCAGTTTTATTGGTAGAATCGAAACCCTACACATTGGTGGGCTCTGCTTTGTTGCTAGTACAAATGCTGTGTGAATATTGCCGCTGTGCCCAGCGTTTACCGATTGTGGCTGGATACTTGGCACGAAATGTGGTCGACTTGTTGCGCACATTTAATTCTCGTTCCTGTCAATTGGTAATTGGGGCAGGAGCATTGCGTGTGGCTGGCTTGAAGACCATAACAAGTACAAACTTGGCCTTGGTTTCAAGGGCCCTGCAACTAGTGCTGTGGCTTTTACCCAAAATTAAGGCACATTTTCAAGTATTCGATTCCACGGCGGTGGCTGGATTCGATATTATCGAACGTGATTACAATGGGCACATCAAGGAAATTGAAAATAAAATCTATGGCATTGTCAGTGATCGTGTTGCCATGCAATTGGATAGCTGGGATGCTCGTCCACCTATACCCTCACAATGTTTTCGAATTATTTCCAGGCATTTGGTTAAGCTACATGAGGCAATAGCACCCATATTGCCGGAACAACAAATTCACGCGATCTACAGCATTGTCCACAAGAATTTCAAAGATAAACTGAGGGAGAGGTTGTTGGCTTTGAATATCATTAATAATGGTGGACCTCAACATGGTGTGGTGACATCGGAACTGACCTTCTATATGGAAACTTTGCGTACACTAAAAGCTTTGCCTGTTGCCGACTTGGATGATAGTATAAGAGAATCGATATGGAATTTTTAATAATGAAATTTGTATTTAAATTGAATTTGTTTTCAATTGTTTAATTTCCTTTTTTTTTTGTTTGGGTTTCCTTTTCGTTTAGTATATAAGTTGTAGTTTCCTTGTTTTTAACTCTTCTTTTTTTCTTATTCTGTTGTTTAATTTTATGTGTTATTTATGTTTTCTTCTTCTTCGTTTATTGCCAAATGTTTCTTTAAGAATAGAGCGGGGCGAAGTTTGTAAATTTAATTCAAATATTTAAAGTTTAAAACCACGTAGTAGAAATGCAGCTGCCAAGACTTATAACAAAACATAGTATTAAAAAATATATAAAAACACACAAAATAATCAACGTTGCTATAATGTGAATGTTAATTAAATTCGAAATTTAATGAATTTTCTCAGTGTATCAATGTTTGCTGTTTTGGAAATTGGAAACTATGTTAACATTAAACAAATGCAATTAATAACAACAACAACTTACAATTGAATATTTCAATACTAAATAATATTTAAAACAAAAAAAAAAACAAATTTACTTAACAATTTGTAAAAAGTCGTCCTTAACACACAAAATCCTTAAATTTCCAGCTTTAATCTTTAACCACAAAAAGACCATCCCATCCATCATTCCTCCTTGTAAAACACAAGCCCGCACCCAAGCATTCCCAACTAAAATCCACAATTAATAAAAAATTGTCTTACCAAAATCACGTTAAGTCAAAACAAAATATAAATTTAATAAATAAATTAATTATAGTCTAATATTAAATCTAATTAAAACGAAATACAATTACGATTTATTTATTTAACACTTTCAAATTTACCCCGCATCATCTTTTGCATGGAATCTTGTATAAGCAAACGTAGCTCTTCATCCTTTTGGGCACGCATTTCATCAATAATACTTTCACGAAACCCAGGGTCCTTTGCCGGATCTTGTCGTAGTTGTTTTTCGCCCTTTTGTTGAGTAGTAGATTCTTGTGGTATTTCCTGATTTAAATTTGATTCAATACTTTGTAGAGTTTGTACACCCATTGGACTTATTTTATCCCATGAATCATTACCAAACCATATAGAGAGGGCATCATTGTAATCGGTGCTGTGACTACGAAAAGGGTGGGATGGTGAACCAAAGGCCAAGTGGCTAATGGTATCACGTAATGTCTTGGCCAGTTTTTGTATTTTATTCGAATAGAAAAGAAGGCCAGCACCAATGAGATGTGACATGGACCGTAAGCAGCGGCAAATGTGTTTCTTTATTTCCGGTTCTGTAATTAAACATCCAAAAAAATCGTTTTATTGGGATATGAGGAATTTAATTCTATTTTTTCTGAAAGGCCGAGTAGCGTAAAACGGAAATTTTTAAAGTATATTTTTCTAAAGCCTTTACAAGGCGTAGATCTTTTAAAGAATATTTTTTTGAAGCCTTTACAAGCGTAGACCTTTTAAAGAAGCCTTTACGAGGCGTAGAAGAATACTTTTTTGAAGCCTTTACAATGCGTAGATCTTTTAAAGAAGCCTTTACGAGGAGTAGAAGAATACTTTTTTGAAGCCTTTACAAGGCGTAGATCTTTTAAAGAAGCCTTTACGAGGCGTAGAAGAATACTTTTTTGAAGACTTTACAAGGCGTAGATCTTTTAAAGAAGCCTTTACGAGGCGTAGAAGAATACTTTTTTGAAGCCTTATCATTCTTGATCAAATCCAAATTATGAGCACATTGTCCTCGGAGACAATTTTTCTTTATCCTAACTCAATCTCTGTAATTTTCTAGTTTTGAGCAAAATCAATTTTTCTTTCGGCTTTAACCCTTTATCTCTAACACCTGGAATAAAATATTAGAATAATTTCCAAAAATTGCACTACTTACCAAATCCAATAAACAGATCATATTTCCCACCCACAATAATCACCGGGAAAGGTATTAAATTCAATGTTGCCAAATCGACATGCTCCTTTTTTACACGCAGTTTCACCTTTTCCGCACCATCATCATTATCATCTCCCTTCCCAACCATCCCTTTATCACAAAAATCCCTTAAAATTTCATAGGCCTCTTTCAGATCAACCCACAAACGATGTGGTTGTGATAAATCCAACATTATAATGCAAGATAAATTCTCCGCACCATGACTTCTAAGAGGCACCTCAGCCAATTGACGATCCAATGCTCCCAATTCCCATATATGACAAATTTGTTTCTGTACTGCTCCAGTTTTACGTGCATACGAGTAGTCTAATGCCAAGGTGGGCCGAGGTGATTCTTCACGTTCAAAAAAACTATTAATGGATGTTGTTTTGCCAACATTTTTAGAACCGAGCAGGAAGACGGTTCTTTCTCTGGGTCCATTATTCAATTGCAGCTGTTGTAGTTGTTCCTCGGCCAGCTTAAAGGCAATATCTTGTATGGTTTCCAGTTTTGAGGATTCCTTTTCCATATTTTCTGTGGAATTATTAAGTTTTACAAAATTTTTACTCAGTTAATTGAATGACAAGTGGAAAAGCATTGTTTTTATTTTTGTCATGGTAACGGTTAAGGTGTTGCCATGTGCAAAAAAAAGAGACTACAGTAGGCAATGCCGTTTACAGCTGTTTCATTTGTTTTGAAGGCAATGACAAAAATTTGTAAACAGAAACATTGCCACACATAAAATGGAAGTAGGATTATTCAATTTATTTCCTGAAAAATAACGCTTCAGGTAAAATTTTCTTGAAATTTGTAGAAAATACCCTCCCCTTATAAAAAACGACTTTTTTTCTAGCTCTAGCCAGGATAAAATCTATATGCCCGTTGAAATCAAATTTCCTGTCTTTCACAATCAGGCTATTAAGATCAATTTTTTGGATTGTGACGCATGTGGTAGTTCACCCACTACCCGTTGTTGTACAGCAAATATTCTGCCTTCAGCTGCGAAAATCCACATGAAGTTAGGCACCGGATCCTCATGCCTCAAAATTCTCGCAACGAAGAGTCCCTCACTCGGTACGAAGTCCATTATTCCTACTTTGGAACTATCTGGCAACCGAAAGCTGGAGCCCGCCAATTCTCTCGCTTTCTGCTCTATCATAGATGGCTCTATTCGAATGCCGTCTAATAGATTCGTCATAGGCAATTATCGGCCCGATAATCTGTTTATACGTCAACGGCTCTACTTGAAGTAAAATTGCTGATGAAAAATGATCCGCAGGTACATTATCTGGTCCTTCACCTCCACAATATTAAGACCAATTTGTAGGACCGAAGCCTGCCGTTCATCTTCAAGGAAAATGTTCATGTTTATTCCTGTTGAAATAAAATTTCTGATGAAAAATTATCCGCAGGTACATTACCTTGTCCTTCACTTCCATAATATTAAGACCAATTTGTACGAACGAAGACCGTCATTCATCTTTAAGGCAAAAATGTTCATGTATATTCCTCTTGAAATAAACTTGGCAAATATATCGGGTAACACACGATCATTATAGCAGAACACTTTTCACCGCTTATCTTTAGAGCATTAATGCAATATACCTACGCAGAGTCGCCTGATAATCATTCAGTATTGCCTCTCCTATACGAGCAAGTGGAGAAGGATACTTAATTCCAAATGTTTGCAGGGACATATTGTTGAGTTGTTCGTACGCATTCGAGGACTCGTGTGTGATTAAATTGGCCAAAAAATGTATGTATAACCTAACCAACACAAGTTTCGAATATATTGTATGGCCAAAAGGATCCTTTGCCACGAAACAACATCTAATTTATATTAACAAAAATAAACCAGTTAATATTTTAATTAAATTCTTATATTTATTTTGTATATATTATTATTTTTTTTATTTAATTTAGTTTATAATATAATAAATCTTCCTCACAAAGATTTGCACTTCATTTCCTGACTCACAATCCGATTGTTACATATTAGTAAAAGTTTAAGGTTATTGCGGCCATTAATATTCCCGCCAAATTCCCAAATGGTGTATTTACTATTTTGGCCTAATTTCTATTTTTTCGATGTTGTTGTTTTTAGTGTTAATTGAGTTCAGTGAATGGTGTGAACTTTGCTCAAAAATCCCTTGGGGTATATCCTATCCCTTTGCAAACAAGAAAGGGAGGGAGAGACTGAGAGCAAGCGGCAACTAACAATTTACTTAACTCTAATACATTATCATAAAATTGTTTTATGAAAAAAGTTTTGCATAATTATATATGATTAGTTATAAATATTATATAATAATCTATTCAAAGTTTTTCCAACTTTCTAATTGTTTGAAATCCGCCCTCTAGATATTCACATTTATTAGTTCACACTCCAGCAGCAGTAAACTTGTGAAAATCCAAATGTCTTTGAGAATGGCGAGAGCATGAATTTGCAAGAAAATAACAATGATGATGAGCGTGAGCAAACATGCGTATCACAGAGAGAAAGAGCGGGAGAAAATGTTGTGTTATTTTTTATTATTTTGTTTTTTCTTTTTATTATTGTAGTCAGTGTTACCGTTGGGAATTTTAAAAAAGTTGCACAAAAAGTCGTTCCCTTGAAAAAAGTCGCACAGAAATGTAAAATTGTCAATTAAACTGTTCCTAGAATATGTCAGATACCCTTGGACCTCAAAAACGAAGTAGACGAATCAGAATAAGTTTGAACTTACAAATAAAAAAGAAAATAAAGAAAATATAACTTAACATACGCAGTAAAGAAAAGTCGCACAAAGCTTAAAAAGTTGCAAACTGAGTTACAGAGCATCAAAAAGGTTGCAAATTGCGACTTTAGTCGCACAACGGTAACCCTGATTGTAGTAATTCAAAGGAAAAGTTGTATTACACAGTTGTGTTGTTGTATTAGAATTGTTGTTGTTGTTTTGAAGTTGTAAGTTAATTGTTGTTATTGTATTTGACTGTTGGTGATTGTTGTAGCGAGAGCAAGAGAGCCACCAAACTTCAAATGTATTTTATTACGGTTACTTTTTCCCATTGTCAATTGCTGTTGTTGTTGGTTGGATGGTTGTCATTGGAGCGCGTGCTCACCTTAAATCATGCACAAACACAAAACAGCCCCAACAACAACAGCAACATATGTTTATTTCAAGACGAAGACGAATAAAACGAGCAACTAACTCATTTCCACAGAACGAACAGGAAAAAACAACAATAACAGCAAACAAAAATAACAACAACTGATGACGGCGACTCTGAGAGACGTTTTTAAACAAAATAATATTTCAGAAGGCAAGAAAGCCACTGACTGCTAGCAAAACAGTTGTTGTTTTGCGGCTGAGGTGAAGTGAAGTCATAAGCGCGGTTAGTTTCTCTGAGACGTCAACGGCAACCGTTGTTGATGATATGTTGATGGTCCTTTATGCAGATGATTTCAACCAAAGAAAACACAAACGAGAAGAACAAAAGTAATACAAAAATATATTAACAAAAAAAAAATATAAAAAATAAAAAAAGTAAATTTCTCAAAGAAAATTAAAGTGAAAGAAAATTATAAAGAAGTCTAAAAAAGAGTTCACAGCCATGAACAAATTATGATGATTAAGTGAAATGAAGGAAAATAAAAAATAATACAAATATGAAGTGTTAATTTTTTTTTATTTTTGGTGTTGTGTGAAGCAATCTAAATAGTATGCCGATGTTTGTGTTGTTCCAGTTGTTTCGGCCTTAGTGTTGTTGTTATTGCTGCTATTGTGTAATCATAATGTAAATTCAAAACCCAGTTACAAAAGTTCAGAAGAAGCAGAAAAAAATCCCTTCACAACTCCACATTGAGAAATCAAAAAAAGCTCGGTCGGTCGGTCGGTATGCAATGGCGTTTACTTTGTAGTAAAACAAAAATCCCAAACGAAGTTTTTCTGCTCTTCGGTTCCGTAGTTGTGAAGTGTGAATAGTTAAATAAAACATAAAACCGAAAAAAACAACAGTCATCCAGCCAGGCAGGCAGCTCCCCTCTTTCAACGTAACGGATTAACAACTTCATTCTTTTCGTGGGTTTCCAATAAGAAAATATCCATCTATTCCTATTGTTTATTGGCGGTGCGTGTGAACCCTCTACCCGATTCTATTTGGATACCAAAAAAATAACAGAAAAAAGGTGGGTATTTTATTTTTTGCGTATTCATGTTGTTGTTGTTTTATAAATTGGAATAAGTTTTTGCCGTGCATATATTTCAGTTCAGTTCTGTTTTGCCTAATTTCACCTATTTATGAGTTTGGTATATTTTCTCTACAACAACAACAACAGCAACAAAACAACGACGACATAATATTTTGTTGTAGTATTGATAGTAAAGGGCGCGCTCTACTCCATTCCTCTTCATACCTCAAGTTTTGTTTTCGTTGAATTTGATGAGTAAAAATGTCAGTGATGTCAAGGTTGTTACAAAATTCGTACATTTTGTACTTTGCTGTTTTGGTATGTTTGCAGGTTTTGGATATTATGAAGTATTGACGAGATAATGAATGAAGACTACTCCATCTCAAACCCAAAAAATCACTCCTCGGATCATCATCTAAACAGCCGTTGTAAGTAGTTGGTCAGATCTCCTTCATCATATAAAAAATATTATGTTCTGCATATAATAATGGCCTCTAGAGCGAATTGAAAATCGGTTCATTGGACGAGCTAAATATCATCTTAACTTCACCGAAAATTATAGGTGTCATCCTTGACCATAATCGGAAATTCATGTAAAATTGTAAAGCTAAACAATATCATAACACATAGACACCTTTAAATATTTACGTATAACTCGCACATCCGAGTACATACAGCAATATAATTGGTATCAATTTAAAGGTCAACCACTCCTCTTGGATCAACTGGGGCCTATGCCTTACACACAAAAGTCTGGGTCCAGTTGAGCCGCTAAATATTGACCGTTCGGCTCATAATTGTGGCCTTTAGAGCTACCAGAAAAATAGACAAAATAAACTGGTTGGTCCATTTCATCCTCTTAATATTTTGAAAATATTTACTAACGCAGAGGGGAGAGGTCCAAACGAGGATTCAGTCAAGGTGACAGTTTGTCATATGATCTTTTTAACATCCTGCTGGAAAAGGTCATTCGTGAGGCAAAGGTGAACAGAACTCAAACAACACATGCTACACGCCTACGCCGATGAAATCGACATAATGGGTCGAACATTGCGAGCGGTAACAGCCACCTTGCGAACGGTAACAGTCACCACAAATTGAGAAGGAGTCTGCCAAAGAGAGTCTGGCGTTCAGAACTTGAGACTGTGGAACTTGAGAACCACCAGACGAAACTCACACTCTACAAGACGCTGATACTACCCGTGCTGTTATATGGATCGAAGCATGGGTACTAGAGTTGGGCAATCTAGTTCACTTAGCGGATAGATCTTTCTCGTCCCTTCAACTAGTTCCTTAATGTATTTCCTTTGCTCCATATAGTTCATTTGATTCATTTTAACTATTTACACAATTTGAAA